GTACAAAGGTGAAGGGCGGGAGCTGCCGGGGGGCGGCGGGGAAGCAGCCCGGAGCGGCGGCCGTAGAGGTAAGTGGGTGCGCCGCTTTAAGTGCTATGGCCTGTGGGGGGGAGTTGGGCAACCGCCTGCGAGCCTGAGGCCGGTCCAGACAGCAGCCGGGACCCTGAGAGGTCAGTTACTAGTCTAGTACCCCAGTCAGGGTTGGTGCTCGGCTGGTATTTCCCCTGCCTGACGGGTTTGGTATGGTGTCGCGAGCTGCCAGAAAACCAATTTAATCTGCTAGTTTTATTTCTTGTGGGTCTGACGATTTGCGTTATTGGCCCAACACACGGGGATCGCTAACCTTAAAGGTGTTTGTGTCCAGTTACAGGTCCTGCATTGCTCCCACTTCTGCAGTTCATGCAATAACAGATCAAAACTGTAGCAAATAGAGCAGCTGTCTGCCCACCAACACTCCTCCCATGTTTGGGTTGTGCAAGGTATATTAGATAATGGAAAATCAAGGCAGTGGTGCAAGTGATATTACTACAGTGGGCAGGGCCGGATTAAGGCATGGGCTAGCTGGGCAGCTGCAACCTTTGGGCCCCTTTTAGCTGCCATCAGGTGCCACACGCCCAGTTCCCGGATTGTGGGCTGCAGCAGCTCCTGGTGGCCACCCTGCAGTGGCCGCCCGGGGTGGGGGCCATGTTAACCCCCGCAGCACGCTTTCCCCCTGTGACTGCGGGGCCCTGCATGGTCAGGCTCGGCCCACCCCAGCAGCGGTAGCTGGGGGGGGCTAGCAGCTATGTGCACCTTCCCCCAACCACCAGGCGGGGGCGGGGCCACGCATGTGCCCTCTCCCATACACTGGCGCAGGGGCGGGGCCACGCATGTGCCCTCCCCCAAGCCGGGGCGCAATTAAACTGTCTGCGCAGGGCACTGGAATGGCTCGGTCCAGCCCTGACAGTGGGTAGGGATGAGGGATAGAGGGAGAGTAAGCTTGCATCAGAAATTGCACATTCAATGGCAGCTGGCTAAATTAAACATACTACAAAGACTATCTGGCAAAACATGCTGATAAAAAAGCAAACTCTGTTATCAGGTTAACTATGTTTTCTAGGATACTAAAAGTGGCTGTTTGAAGGCTTGTTGTGGAAGTTTTGCTTGTGTGGGAGGAGGGGAGTATTGTTTTTTGGATTTCAAAGGTGATAGCCCTAATCCCACTTGGCTCTGTGTAAACTAGGGATCTAAAAATTCATTTAAAAATGTAATTGCTAAAAATTTTAGTGGTTCCACACGCTACAGGCTTTGTAGTTAAAGCTTAAATAAACATTATACTGCAGAGCCTGCAGCAAAGTTGTCTTCCTGTGAGCCAGCATTTAACCTGCAGCAGTGGAGGCCAGGCCTGGCCTACCTTGCCTTGCCATAGATGGGGCTACTTTGGTGAGCCCTCTTGGGCTGAAGCAGCTCCTTGCCCAGGATGGTTGGGAGCTGCTCCAGCCCTTACTTGTTGGTAAGCCTCACCTGTTGAGGGTGAGGTGTACCAGTTAACCATTTACATCCCTAGGGTAAACAAGACTGTAGTGGTGGAAAAAGGCTGTTCCTGGTGAAACAAGTTAATAAAGTGCTAAAGGTATCAACTAGGGATGATAGCATAAAGCCATTTAAACAATTAAGTTATTGGTTAATCCAAACGACTACACACAGCACTCCCCACTTGCTGCCCCTGAGGTGGGGGAAAGGTGGGAGCTAGCTTAAAAGCCAGCAACCTTGATCTGTGGTTGGCCTGGGCTCACGATGGACAGAGGCTGTTTTGTGGGATGCTGGGCTCACGATGGACAGAGGCTGTTTTGTGGGCTGCTGAAGCAGCCTCTGTCTATGGGGAGGTTGGGATCCCTGCAGGAGGATGCTGCTGCTGTATCAGAGGCAGCAGCAGGTGGGAGCTAGTCTGTGCGGGGAGCTGATTTTTAAACCTGATACAGAAGCAGCAGCATAGAGTAGGAGGGGGCTCCCCAGGAGTTGGGCTGGAAGTGCCCCAGAGGAAGCATTTTAGTAACCAGGTAACCACTAAACATGTTTGTGCCTACACAATTACTAAAATATATGGTATCTAATAACCCTAGTCTAAACTGGTCATTCTCTGAAGGTGTCAGGAAAGATTTTTTTTTAAATGCTTGCTATTGGAGAGGTACAATAAGTGGGTATTCCCATTTCCTGAGCTAGTTATTGCAGCAGTCAGCCAATACTAAGGATGTAAATGTGTACCCATGCATATGGTTACACACAGCCCCCCTCCCATCTCTGTATCTGAGGCAGCAGGAGTGGAGAGGAAGGTGGGAGCTGGTATATGCAAGGGAGCTGGCTTTTAAGCTGGCTTCCTGTGAATGCTGGCTTCCTGTGAATGCCAGCTCCCGCGAAGCTACCTCTCCCTGCCATTCTGCTTCCTCTATCAGAGGCAGTAGTGGGGGGGAGCAGGAACCTGTACATGCAGGGAGCCTGCTTTTTAAACCAGTTGACTATGCATGCAGGCTCCCATGGAGCCACATGTCCCCCCTCTTCCATCTCCACAACCTCTGTTACTAGTGCCCCATACAGAGGCAGCAATAAGGGAGGTGGTGCTTCCATTCCCCCCTCCCCTATGTAAACGTATAACCTCTGAAAATTTCAGCGGTTACATGTTTACAAACAAACATATTTTAACATCCGCAGTCAGTACCAGTGGTATGATTTGGTAAAGTGGTAAGTGTAACTGTGTTTACTCTCTTCTGGAATCTCTGCAAGTTGCAAGGCAGAAAGACTTTCAAAGAGGAACTGCACTCTTAAATTCGTGCTTGCTTTTACCATACGTAATATTTTCTATGCCATGCCAACTGTGCCCAAGGTGCTATTGTATATTGTCAATTCGGTAAACACTTCCTCTGTTGTAAGTGCTTTATCATCTCTGATTCTAAACTAAATTGTCTGCCATTTGTGTCATCCAGTCAGAGTAGGATTAGAGCTTAATCTGTATGTTAAACCAAGCGATATATAAACATACCATAAACCCCACACCGGAGTATACCCCGTGTTTTTTTCCCTTTTGAGTTTAGGAATCCCTGTATGCCTGCAGGAGAGAGACAGAATAATGGTACTACAAAGCCCCTTTAATCACCTATCAAATGAGCCGCAGCTGATGATGGTAATGAGCAGCTCCTGTAATCAGCTGTTAATGAGCTGCAGCTGATAACACAGAGCATTTATACCTTTGAACAACAGGGCTTACTCAGTCACTGATTTTAACTTTTATTTTAGCATTTTAAACTTTTAAAACTTTAAACTTTTACCCTTTTTAAGCTTTTCAAACTTTTTAAAGCTTTTAGATCAGAGTGAATGAGAATGCAAAGCCTTTTTTTACACTGCTTTTATTCTTTTACTAGTTGCACAATAAAGTAATGTTTTTAAATGTGTTTCCCCACGCCCGCAACTTGCTCCGGGTTCCTTCCCTTTGTCAGCCGGGGCTGGGAGCCTCCCGCCTTGCATCTCTGGGGATGCCTCTGCCCCAGCTGCTGCGCCCCTGTTAAGTTTCCTCGCATTGTTTGGTACCCAGTCCGGCAAAGGTAGTGAAGGGGGGGGTATCCTCTGCCATTTCTGTAAAGAAAAACCTATATAACCTGTGCATGACTATAGCCTGTGGGGGGGGTGCGGGGTCTGTAAAAATGAATATATATTTTCGCGGGTTATAGTCGCTAGATTACGGTATTTATGCCGTAAGACCGGTTTATAAATTGTTGTATAACTGTTTTCACTTGCACCATAATTGTGCCAAACAAAACTGCTTTAATTTATAGCTTCTTCAAATAATAGATGAGTATGATTCATCACATTATGAAAACTAAAGGCATTGTCTACACTTAAAAGTTTAAAGCACAACTGCGGCAGTGCTTTAAACTGAAAGTGAGGCCATGGCACGAGTGCTGGGAGAGATCTCCCAGCATTCTCTATAAACCACTGTCACAAGGAGAGTAGATAACAGAGCTGGGAGCACAGCAGCCTGATTCACACTGTTGCTTTACAGTGCTGTAACTTGCTGCTCTCGGGGTACGGGTGAGGTGTGTTTTTCACATGCCTGAGCCAGAAAGTTAAAGCACTGTAAAATCCCCATGTAGACTTAGCTAGAATCTTGCCACTAAGCCACAATAGTAGAAATCTATAACTGTTTTGTGAATGCAAATAATAAATGTGTTGGGTTAGCATGTTCCATACAGGATTAAGGATGTTAAGGACTACTCAATTATCCGATAAGCAAATGGACTAGTTGGTTTCCCCCCTCTGCCCCGCTACCTCTATCAGATAGAGGCAGCAAAGGGGGAGGAAGAAGGGATACTTCAAAGCAGCAGTGCTGCACAGCTGAGCTGCGGATCAGCTGTGTGGTGCTGCCGCTTTGAAACTCCAAGGTAGTGTTTCAAAGAGGCAGCCACGGCACAGCTGATACACGGCTCAGCTGTGTGGCGCTGCCCCTGTAAAACGCTGACACACACTGTGGAGCCTGGAGTTGGCTGGGGACTCCCCAGCTAACCCCGGTTCCGTGCAGCATTTCCACAGAACCTGGGGACTCCCCAGCTGACCCTGGGTTCTGGGGAACTGCCGTGCGGAGCCCGGGATCAGCTGGGGAGTCCCTAGCTGAACCCAGGCTCCATGGTGAGACCCCTTGAAGGCCACTTTGGGCTCAGCTGTATGGTGGCTGCCCCTTTGAAACACTGCCTCAGTGTTTCAAAGGGGCAGTGCCGTGGAGCCTGGGGTACCTCTGCAGCTTGCCTGGGACTGCGTGGCTGCAGCAGCAGCATCTCTGGCCTCTGACCACAACAGAGGCACTGCAGCCACGAGCTGGCCCTGGAGGCTCTGTGGCCATGTGGCCTTGGGCTGGCCTGGAGGAGGAGCAGTCGCTCCCTGCGCCAGTGCATGCCTCCTCCATGATGCTGAAGCAGATACAGAAAGTGAGTGTGGTCGCGCTGGGTGAGCCGGGCCTGGGGTGCACTCTGGAGAGCCAGGGCAGAGCTGAGTCTGGGGGTGGGACTGTGGCTGAGGGGAGTGACGGGAGGGTTCTATTGGGAAAGGGCTGTATGGGAGAGGAGCTGGCTGCACAGCACAGTGGCTAGTGAGGGAGGATCTATTGTAGGGGAAGGAGCTGAGGGGAGACTAGAATTGCAGGCAAAGGGCTGTATTAGAGGGGAACGGAGGAGGTGGGGAGTGAGGGTCTCTCTAGAAGGGAGGCTGATGGCAGGGGAAAAGAAGGATTGTAGGGGAAGAGAGGCTGTATGGGCAGCAAGAACTCTTGTCATGCCTGTGTCAGAGGGTACCTGGTGGGAGTTGAATCTTGGCTTTAGTTCTGCTCTTCCAAACAATGGCGCTCTTCTGTTCTTTGCTTATTTTGATTGTTTGTTTATTGCTTCTGAACTGTTCTTTGTTCCATTCCATGGAAATGGAATGTCAGTCTGTGGTTTGGAGGAGGATTGCCTGTAGCACGCTATAGCAGGGGTTCCCAAACTTTTTGATACTGGGGACCAGTAAATCCATTCACAAGCTTTTGGAGGACTGGTAACATTTATTTGCATATTCATTAAGCAAATGATGAATATGCAAATAAATTGTTTCTGGTCCTCCCAAAACCCTCAGTGCCAACTTTAGCAACGCTTTTGATATGGTCTCCCCAATATTCTTGCCAGCAAGTTAAGGGAATATGGATTGGATAAATGGACTGTAAGATGGATAGAAAGCTGTCTAGACCAGGGTTTCCCAAATTTTTACTTTAGTTGGAACTTGATATTTTTAGTACCTTTAAATATAAATGCATATAAAAAATGAATAAATTTTCACTGTTTATTATTTATTCACAATCATAATAGTACATAATATAATCTTGACATAAACTACTGCTTAACTTATAGTTATTACCTTAATTACAATTTAACCAGTAGAATTACAAACAGTTGTAAAATTTGTTTGTTTGTAATTTAATGAGTTGAGTACAAGTCATTTATTATGTGTATGCTTTATAGCTTTTAAATAACTAAAAAGAGTACTAATGGGAAAGGTGATGTTGTTTTGCATCACATAGCAACTTTATGCCAGGAACAAAAAAAGAAAGTTTTACCCTCAAATCTGGTTCGACATTCAATCTATTTCTATATTTATTTTTGAAGAAAACCAAAGACGAGAAAGTAGTTTCACACTTATGTCGTGACGAAAGGCATTAAGAATTTGACTGCTTTCTCAGATAAATTGTGAATATTCATTTCTACAGCTCAACCAAAAATCAATCAAGGAGAGTTTATCAAAGTTCTCTTCTAAGGCAGAGTCACAGGAAAGTTCAATTAACGAATCCACTTCTGATGCATTCAATTAATATTTCTTCATTTTGGGTGTCAACAGTAAATGGGTTCTTAATCCACATTTTACTGGTGTCAATTGGAGGAAAATATTAATTTAAGCTTGATGTTAACCCCAAGAGATGTTGTGGGGGTTTGGGTGGGGGGGAGGAGACAGGGGCTGGTACCTGGGGATCCTGTAGCTGCACGCCAAGGCCCAGGAAGTGTGTGGGCTGCTCCCCCATCCCCCAAACAGTGGCGCGGTACCTGAAACACTGGTCTGTCGGGCGCTCGTGCCTTCCTGCATGGGGGGGAGGGAAAGGAGGGGACTCCTGGACTGCACCAGCAACAAATGTTCGGGCAGCGCGCTGCCATGGGGAATGGAGGGGCAAGGCACGTGCTGCCTGATCAGCTGGAGCCAGCACATTGGGAACTTTATTCCCCTGCTGCCTTCCTGGGGGGGGGGGGGGCACCAGCCCCAACTTTTCGGGCAGTGCGTGCCTGGCTCCTCCACTCCCCAAGGCAGCGTGCGCCATCCGAGCAGCCAGAGCAAGCTCAGTCCCGGATTCCCACTCCCTCCCCCGTGCCCAGGAAGGCAGCAAGGGAACAAAGTCCCCAGCACATGATAGACGGGTGTTTTAGGTACTGCACCGGCTGTTGGGGCAGGAGGGAGAGCAGCCTGTGCACTTTTGGGACCTGGTTCACAGCTGCAGAGCTTTCCCCGGACCCCACAGAAAGCCCGCTCTGGCCCTACTGGTCTGGCAGATTGGTTCCCCCCACCCCCCGGCTCCAATCCTGGCCGTTTTATTGGCTGGTGCCGGGCGTTCTGCATTGGTGCGCATGGCGCCTGGCCTTCTCCCTGAATCCTAGCACCTGCTGGATCTAGCCCTGCTGCCTGGGAGCATGCTCGACAGAGATGCTGCCGCGGCAGGCTCTCTCCCAAGACCTGCTCTGAGGACTGTTTTTTTTTTTTTATTATTTTTTTTTTATTTTAAGGACTGGTAGCGGGCCGCAGACCACACTTCGGGAAATGGTCTGCAGGAGGGGTGAGTTGGGCCCAGAGGGGGCATGCAGCAGGGCTGCCCTCCTCTGGGGTGGGAAGAATCCTGGGAGAAGGCAGGTGAAGGGGACTCTGCCCCCACTGGCACCCTGCCTTCCCGGCACCGTGTTCCCTGTCCTCTGCTGCAGATCCCTATCCCCACTGGCACCCTGTCCTCTGCTGCAGAAACGTGTCTCCTGCCCTCCTGGCACCCTGTTCACTCTCCCCTACCCCCAGCCACAGAACTCTGTCCCCACTGGCACCCTGTGCCTTGCCCCAGAACTCACTAGCACCCTTCCTCAGTACAATGTCCCCTGCTACCACCAGCACAGTTGGGACCACATTAGTGAGGCTTGGGGGAGTTTTAGAGGAGTTGGTTTTTTTTGCATCTCACTTGTGTGGTCCCAACTGACTTCTCTTTCGGTCAGTGTCCCCTGACTCAAAACAAGTTCCCTGCCCTTCTCATAAATAAAGACAATGCAGAAACTTTTTGTGTTAACACAGTATTTTATTTAAAAATGAAGCCTGGTCAACAAGCCCCCATCTGGCCACAGCATCATAATGCTTCTGGACTCCCTCTTCCCCCAGACCCTAGATCTGAGTCTATCATACACTGGAACCCCCTGTCCTGAGCCCCTCACATACCCCATCCCAAATTCCTGAACCCTCACATCCACAAACCTGTGGCTTGCTTAGTACCCCAACCCTACATCTGACCCCAACACTGCATGGCCTGGAGCCCCCTTCCTGAGCCAGTGTTCCCTTCTCCACCTCCTCCTGCATTCAGATTTCCTCCCAGAGCTTGCACCTCTTACCCCTTCCCACACCCAAATCCCTCATTCCCACCCCAGAGCCTACACATCGTGACTCAACTCAGCGAGGGTATGGCTAGACTGCAGGGCTACGTCTACACTGGCCCCTTTTCCGGAAGGGGCATGTTAATTTCAGCTATCGTAGTAGGGAAATCCGCGGGGGATTTAAATATCCCCCGCGGCATTTAAATAAAAATGTCCGCCGCTTTTTTCCGGCTTTTAGAAAAGCCGGAAAAGAGCGTCTACACTGGCCCCGATCCTCCGGAAAAAGCGCCCTTTTCCGGAGGCTCTTATTCCTACTTCCCCCGCGGATTTGCCTACTACGATAGCTGAAATTAACATGCCCCTTCTGGAAAAGGGGCCAGTGTAGACGAGCCCCAGGAGTTTTTCAGGATTCCAGAGATATCCCTGAAACTCTTCTGCATCCAGGGATGCACTTGTTCTTCTGCTTTTTTTTAGTGGAAGAGCAAACATGCTCTTTCGGTCACCCCTATATTCCTCTTTCCTCAAGGAGTAAGGGGGCTTCCAAAAGAAGGGGGTTTTCTGACATTTGGTCCAGTCTAGACAGGCCAAATGTTGGAAAAACCTCTTCCTACAGAAGAATTGGAGGAGGGGGGATAGGAGAAAAGCAGCAGTATAAGGGTTGGGGATAGCAAGTGATGGAGAAGAGGAGAATAGGAAGGGGCGGGGTGCTAGATCTTGGCTTGTTCTGTCATTTAAAAAATGATCTTGGGTGTGTAAAATTTTAACCTGTTGGCACACTCATTAATAGACTCAAAAGCATCCATTTTTCTACACAGAAATTTCACAAGCCAACTACAGAGAGTGTATGTGAAATTGACCTTCATATTCAAATTTAACGTACTTCTTTGGCTTGAACAAAGACTTGAACTAGTTAACACATTAGAAAACAAGCTTTCCTTACATCAACACCCTATTGACATTAAAAGCTATGTATGGAACATTTCCGGCCCACTCAATTAGCCTTATTAGCACCAGGACTACAACTGACAGGTCCTTTTTATTCACCCTCTTCCTTCTTATTCTGAGGGTCCCCCTTTTTTTCCTTTGCTCAAGATCATCTCATCTGAGCAAGTTGGTTTTGTAATGTATAATTTGTTAGTCTCTAAGGTGCCACAGGACTACTTGTTTTTAAAGTTATAAACTAACATGGCTACTCCTCGGAGACTTGGAATATAAAGAATATTTTTCTAATCATTGTTAGTCATTTTGTATGTTATGTGAAATGTATTTACTGTTTATTTAGAGACATGACTATTTTTTAAAAGTTGGTAGTGTCCCTTTAACAATTAGTATGGCATCAGTTCTTGTCCAAAAGATTTAGCTTTCTCCAATTCTTAATGTATGTATTTGTCTATTTCTGCAGTATTTGCCAGGTAAAATTTTCACAATCACTTGATTAGAATTAAGTAAGTTTTGTATTTTAGGGCAAAGTCTTTGGAATATCACTTCATTCGTTACCTCAATCAGTTGTACCAGAGTATGGAAGTATTCCAAGGTAAGTAAAGACTGTGTTTTAAGCTAGATGCATACTTAATTTGGGGATAATTTCTACATTTACTACTTTAATTTTCAGTTACATATTTTTCTTTTCCTCCAACAAAAAATATTTTTCAAAATAGAGAGAAATTCTACAATTGCTTTAGGAGTTGGTG